AAAAATAAACTGAAAATTGAGCAGGGTGTAATGGTGGTGAACCTATGGCACTCATGGTGCCGCAAGCTGTTTGGTATCATCGAAAGCTTTAAAATGTTCACCATCACTAAGGTAGGACCTTACAAAACAAAAATGACCTGCCTTATATAATTACAAAATTAATTCACAGAAAAATCAGAGAAATGTAGTTCAAGATATTTCAATTTAAATAGTAAATGGAAACAAACAGTAAAGTTTTATAATAAAAATTGGCAAGCATATGGAGAAAGGAAATTCCATGCCCTGTCTGTAGGACTATGTGTTGATTCTTAAAAAATAAGTTTTGATCTAGTGAAGTGAAGTACATTCAGTCATTCCACTCACAGGTGTGCAGAGTTATTCACTGAAACATTATTTAGAAAATAAACATATGAAAATACTTAACTACCAGCAGCAAAGTGATAACAAAGTTTTAGTATATTCATACCCCAGGACAGTGTAATGAATAAACCAGGCCTAAACAATTCACTTTGTTACCTTTGGTGAGCGTTAACCTCTGTGAATAGCTTGTTTTCTGTTTTTGTTTTATCCTGCAAACTGGAAATATCAACTTCACAAAGTGAAAAACAAAGAGGATAAAGTAAAAAGTCTGATGTATATCTAGCACCTACCTGATACAATCATGTTGCAATGTGATGATCTGCCTGTGAAATAGGTATTACTGATGCTCCCTTAAAGTAAGTGATGTAGGAATGGGAGATGTCATTTGAGTATACATTAAGCTCTTAAAAATAAGCATAGGACCCGGGATTTAGCTCAGTGACACCGCGCCTGCCTCATAAGAGCAAGGTCCTGAGTTCAATCCCCAGTACCAAAAAAATTAATAAATAAGAAGCACAGCTAAACAGAACAAGAAAAGAATTAATCAATCAACGCTTCCAAACTCATTTAAGAGCTTATCATAAAAAAGTCTATTAATATGGATTAATTCCAAAAAACACAGGCTCAAAAATAGCTCATTTTCAGTGACAAACATTGTGAAGTAGGAATTTTACAAAGCATCTGTAAAGTTATGACTTTTTCTTTCTGTCTTTTCAGTTTCTATTTTGTGCTAAGTAGGAGAAACTTTAGAAAACTCCCAGGACATAAGAAAGTTACAAAATATATATTTTAATAATTATCTTGAGATGTAAAGAAAATAATTTTAAATATGAAGCCTACTCCTAAAAGCACTTTAACTTACCTTGAACAGAAAGCCTGGAATGTTTTTTTCAGAGGAAGTTTTAGACTGATGAATCCTGATTTACTGCAAGCTGTTTATCAACCAACCTTCAGAGAAATAGAGGAACATTTGAACTATCATAAAGAAGGTAAGAGAAAATCTTAGGCAGTACCCTGAAACACTTAGGAAGGGGAAAAGACAACCTTTATATCAATGCTTACACCCTTAGAATAAATTATAAAAATAACATTAAAAACTCAGTGAGAGCTAAATAAATCTAAAACAAGTTAAAAACTAAAGTACTCAAGTGGTGGTTATCTGAGACACCTTATGGAAATGAAGACAAATACAGAACAATAGATAATGGGTGTTCATGTGGGTATCCATGAGGAAAATTAGGTCACAATATGTATGAGTGCATAGAATTAGATGGTATCTCAATTTATACCTAGGAAAGAAGCCATATTTAGTAGTAAAACTAAAGCAAAAAAATCCCATGAAATTTCTTCCCTACTCTACTTGTAAGGCAGAGATTATTCAAAGGAATTAATTTGCAAAGCCTACTTCAGAAATAATTGCCTTTATTGATGACAACTTTTAAAATGTCATTGGCACTAAAGTCCACTTTCTAATGCAAAGCCTAAGGAAAATCAACAGGATACAGTATCTAAAAAAGATGTAATGAGTATGTATTAAATACATATGTTTGTTTGCTTTGGTAATAAACTTGTTTTAATAATAGAAACAACATTAAATAAGTTTATGCATAGATAAGTATTGAAGTGTTGATAAATATTTCCCACAACTGATTCTAACAAGGACATCAACAAAGAGGCTGATAAAGAAATATGAACACATATGAACAAGTTCCTGAAGAAATATTTAGTTTTTTTCCTTCTTCAAAGGAAATATAAATTTAGCACACCAGATGTTTACCAAATATTTGGTGATATTCGTAGGATATTTAATGAGGAATATTAATGAAAATTTATTTTTACTTTTATTATAAATTTCTTTTATAAATAATAATAAAGCTCAGGGCAACCCACTTTACAGGTCCCCTCCTGTCTCTCTCTGGAGCTGTCTCTTCCCAAATAAAATGTCCTACTCTTTACTTCTATAAAACAATAACAACGACAATAATAATAATGACCTCTGGAAACATGATAGGGATGTGTCCTTACTAAAATGTTTTTCTCCAACACATAAAATATCACAAAATAGTAAGTTAACTCCAAACTAAATACTAATAGTTTAAATTATAAGAAGTAAAAATAGATATATGTACACAGTTTAAACACCTAATGAAAGAAGAGTCTATGCCACTATGCTGCTATCTAGTGGCCATAGAAGATGGAACTAAAACATAAGATGCAACAGAACATAAGCATGTAGAGTTTATATGTAGCTACTACCCTCCTACTCCACTGGGCCAGCAATGGACCTAGTTCTGATAGTATTCATTATATGGGGTATAAAAATGGATCTTCATATTGGCAGATGGTAAATAATAAAAAGTTAGTTTAAAACCTCATACACTGCTATAAACTGTACAAATGTCTAAAACATTCTGGCACCATTTAGCAAAGATGAATATGAGTTTCATAACATAAATTCCCACTTCTGGGTATGTCTAGAGCAGTAGTTTGTAACTTCCAGTAACTGACCCCAAAGAAGTTTACTGATAGAACTGAAGTCTGGTAACTTAGAGGGGTAAAAGTTATATCTTTATGATACCTACTTCTAACATTCCCTTTTGGGGGTGGGGGGATAAACTACAGTATTTTATCAGGACCTGTGACTTTTTAAAGTCAATAAAAATCAAATGTATTTCAAATTCCATTTACAATGGCTGCAAATACATCAAAATTTCTTTTATCTTTATCACTACAAAATTATATCCACAAAAAAATTAGGAAAATATCTAGCACATATGGAAGAGGAGCTTTCCCCTCTGTGGCACTCGCCTCTGGCAACCTGTGCCCTTGGATTTTGCACCCTCCCTGCCCCCCCATCATGGTCACCTACAAATTCCAAGCCCTTTATGTGTTTTGCTTCACCTCAATAGCCAGCAGCAGAAGCACTGACCAACCAATCAACCTGATCATATAGGAGGCCATCACCTCAGGGGAGAAGGCAAGCCCAGGACAGTCTGCAACCTGAGGGAGAAATAATCAACCTAGCCCACAGCACTAGCCCCAGAAAAAGCCCACAGAGAAAATCATGACTTGTCTGGATTCCAAAACGGAGGAATTTCTCTTTCTTTTTCTTTTTCTTTGTTCTTTTTTCTTTTCTTTCTTTCTTTCTTTCTTTTTTTTATAATCGACTTTTTTTTCTCTCTTGCTTTTTCCTTCATGGTTTGTTCATTTGTTCATTGTGTGTGTGTGTGTGTGTGTGTGTGTGTGTGTGTGTGTGTGTGTGCGTGTGTGTGTGTTTTAGGTTTGGAGTGCAGTCTCTTTACATTTAGCTTTTTCCTTTAATCTGTTTTTTTCCTTTATTTTGCACTTTTTTCTTGTTTTTTTGTATTACTCTTATCGATACTATTAACTACCTGTTACTCAATATGATCCCCTCACTTTTTCCTCATTTTCCATTAATATTTCAAATTTTATTTTTTTCATTCTCTATTCCCACCCTATCTTTATGAATCTTTTATGAATTTTTAGTTCATTACTAGAATACTGTTCTATTTTTAGTGGAGTTAAAGTTGTTCTATTTAGTAGATATTTACTGTAGGTCATTATTTGGTATGTCTTAGTGTCTATATTTTAATTCTATGGTTAAGGTTGGTAAACTATCGGTTCTTAGGGTATGTCAACATCTAGTCTGTCTTTGCTAGATTTTATTACTGTAGTCAAGGTGATAGAGTTGTTGCTGTTAATTAGATTTCCCTGTATGCTAATATCTGGACTGTCTTTATTACTGGGTACTGGGCCAAATACACTGCAGCCTCTCTACCTAAATAAACAGGTTGTTGGATCCTGGGACAGAGGCAAAGGCCTATAATTAGGCACACGTGGAGGGTATCCCTGAAAAGCAGATACTAACTAAAAAGTTCTCCATACTAGCAACAGCATCAGCAAACCTACAATTCTACAATTTGGGACGGTTAGATTTCTTATCACAGCTTTTAACAAACCCACTCAAAACCTGTTTGTTGATGTAGTGTGAAATCTAAATCCTCCTACAAGTTAATAGATGCTATCCAAAACTGAAAAATCATGAAACACGAGGATATGCCTGAGAAAGATAAAAATACATATTAGAAGAAACAGCTCAAAAATGTTAAATGAAGTTACTCTGGGATAGAAAGGACTGTATCAGCGGTCTGACATTTTAGTTTTAATTCTGATAGAACTAGTAGATTTCACTCTGTTTCAATTTTAATTTCTCATGTGAGGCCCATTACCTTGGGCTCATGAAAAATTTAATCTAAATCTTTGGTAGGAGCCTTCCAAGGTCCTGCGAGGGTGGCAACTAGGATGGAGAAGAAAAAAGGCTTGCTTGTGCTCCAGTCTGTCACAGAAGGTCGAAACCCTCAGGATTTCAGATGCAAAGCATAACACACACCGGCTCCCACACGCACCCTTCCTGCACACGTCCACGCCGGAACATCTACACACTGCTCACTGGGCGGGCGAACAGGGGGCCAAGATGGGTGGACAGGATCGAGCTCAGCACTCAGCTCAGCCTAACAAAACCTCTAGATTTGAGGGTCACAACCTCTGAGGAAACAGAGAGGAAAGGGTCACCGTTCACAGCAGACTGGCTGCTGACAGAGCCTCCGGGGGGCGGAGCCAACCCGCCAGGCCCCGCCCCTGCGCGCTCCGCCTACTGTTCCTTCCGGAGCCTCTCGGGTGGGGAAACCGCGAGAGGAGCCTCTCAAAGGACGACGCAGTCCTCAGCGCTCAAAGCTGCGCAATGCTTGCCCTCCGAAGCGCCTTAATCAGGACGCTGGCCCCGCGGGCACGCGCGCCTC